ATCCAGGCTGATGTGCAGGACAAATGTGGAGAACGAAGAGAGAGATGTTTTTTTTTTTTTCTTTCAACTAAACATTAAAGAGCTGAAGATAAATGGACACACCACTGCAGGTGCTTTTCTCAAGGCATACAGAGGCCATTGGTGAACGTGACTTCATGTACAAGCTGCTTCTTATGTTTGGATTACAGATGTGCCTTTAAATTTTCCATCCTCTCCACTTTAAAAATCAATTTTGCCTTTAAAGATTAAAAAGGTGATGGTGGTCCTTTTTAAAGATCAACGTACTTTCATGTGTGTCCGAACCTTTCCTTTTGCTAAAAAAAAAAAGAAAAAGAAAGAAAAATCACCATCCAGCTGAGCTCCACTATGATAAACTTCTTCCGCAAACACAGGAAAATCCGTGCATGGACCAAACTCCCCTGTTTGTCTGTCCACATGGAGGTAAAGGTGGAAAAACAAGTGGCAGGTTGAATAAACTGTGAGTGTAAATGTGTTCGTGCTTCTTGGGTTTTATTTGCAGAGCTGCAGGTGGATGCCTGAAAGACACAGCTCTGTATATCTTGGCTAAGTCGCTCGCTTCCCTCCTTAGATGTGACATGCCTGCTTGTGTTTCATGTCAAAGCAATTAAAAGAGGATGTTCTTTGAGACTTATCAAAATAAAGGAAACGTGTAGATCATTGATGGTCAAAATATGCAATTGTTGTTTTTTATTCTTGAGACAAAGTTGATCTGTCTATGGTCTTTAAAGTGCTTGAAATCAGAGGTTTTTATTGCTTTCAAAAGTTAAAAAGTAAGATAAAAATACCCTTAAGTTATATGTTTTGATATATTTTCATAAATAAAAAAGGTTATGGTAACTTAACACATTTATGATGGCTGGTATTTTCCATGAGGGCACCAGTGAGCTGGAAAGGAAGAAATAAGACCTGTTTTACAACCGTTGAGGTAGCCCTCTGTCAATTTAGTTCATTGAGTAAATTATACAACTTTCTGTTATTTATGTTTTTTTCTTATTTTCTTTTTGTTTTGATTTTTTTTTCTTTACTCTTTGAACCAGGAAGACGTAATATAAGATGTGTTTCACCTGATGTGTATGCAGAATTTATTGTAATCATTTGGAGTTATGGCTGTTTCTATATGTTAATAAGTATGTGTTACTGTTTTGTTGAAATTGTTGAACTTGTTCTTAATAAAGTTCAATTAAAAAAACGATAGGTGGGCTGATGACGTATTAAAATACTTTTAATTTTTTTAAAAGTCTGTGGTATTTTCCTGCGCCTTTTCCGCCTTACCGCTAGGGGGCGGTGGTTGAAACCAAGAAGCACAACTGCGTTCAAGAGGGATCACTCTCACCAGCTAACTGTAGCTATCCGGCTAATCTCCTGGACAACGCAGTCGTGGTTATTTTACTGTCCGATAGAGTATTGGCGCATTTTTCGGCGTATTTTTACAATTCATAATCCAGTGATTTTGCAAAACGTTCCCAATAGACGCAAGTCGGGCTCCAATGGATACATTTTAAATAGCTTTTTCACTCTGTTGCTTCTCTCCCAGGATGCTAGCACACCACCGAGCAAGCTAACCTGCTAAAGCAGCCAAACAGCAACGCTGTACGGATGCTTTGAAGAGCGACGCAGCGGATTTGTTTTTTTTTTTTTTTTTTTCAAGTCGGTCTCTTGCGTGATGTCAGGCAGCCGGCCGCAGCAAAGCGGCGGTGGGGCGAGTTCGGTGCCTAGCCCCAGCACCAGCAGCAGCAGCACAGGAGGAGGCAGTGGAAGCACCGCCGTCACTAGCAATGGGAACTCTTCGGGAAATGTTGTGCCCTCCTCCCGAACTCTGCCAGCAGCCGGCGAGGGAGGCATGTCTGGGTCACCCGTGGCCGCGGTGCCGTCGTCCCGGGCCGGGTATGCTTCCATGGGCAGACCGACACCGTCCACAGGCAGCAGGAAGAGGTCCCTCCATCAAGCACCTTTATACAATGGCCTCTTGAATTCATACGAAGATAAAAGCAACGACTTTGTCTGGTTAGTTTGAATTTTGTCCAAGTTAAGCAGKGCTTAAAGATCCAATTTGACACGCCTTGTTGTCTTTTTTCCCCCCCACTTCCAGTCCAATTTGCTTCGAAATGATAGAGGAAGCACACATGACAAAGTGTGGCCACAGTTTTTGGTAAGTGTTTATCTGGATCTCAGGGGTTTGCAGTGTTTCACATCAAATACCCTGTCAAATCCCCAACAGAGAAAAAGTATTTTTTAAACCACGTTTTATTAAATTTACTTATGGTTCTATGTACTTCCCCTCCATGCAGTTTCAAGTGTATTCGCGAGAGCTTGAAGGACAGCAACAGATGTCCCAAGTGTAACTATACTGTTGATAGTGTGGAACAGCTGTACCCAAACTTTCTTGGTGGGTATTTTTATTGTGGAAGGACGTTTTTTTTACATTGTTGGTGCCATGACTTGGATAATTTACCTTGTGTAGTTGTTCAGCTAAATGACTGAGACAGAATAAAGTTACGCTTGTCGTATCGAAACATATGTTTGACAATAGGAGCAGTTTGATCAAATAAATATTTATCTCCTCGTAGGTGGTTCTCATGCCCTGTTCTTGTTTCTCTTCCCCCTCACCGTGTCCCACTTGTGATATTCTAGTAAATGAGCTGATCCTGAAACAGAAACAGAGGTCGGAGGAGAAGAGACTGAAATTAGATCCTCCTGTAAGTAAAGCTCATCCTATACTCTCTTTTTTTTTTCTGCCAAAGTTTTACATTAGTTACCTCCGCCAAGGAGGCTGCGTTTTCGGCCCTCAAAATGTTCTGAATGGATTTTCAGGAAATGTTGAGGTCGACACAAAGAACGAACAGTTACGTTTTGGTGGTGATCTAGATCAGGGGTGCCCAAACATTTTCCCCGAGAGGACCAAAATGAAAATCTATCCAGGCCTGCGGGCCAAATGTAGTAATATAATACATGAAATGCAAATACTTTTTAAGTAAAGTCCTTTATTTTTAATGATTAAAGTATGCAGTGGCCCTCTTTTGTTTTAGTCTGTGCACTTGGAGAAAGTCTGCCATATGCTCAAATAGCAAAGGTACATGGGACATTTCATAAATTGATAAAATATGAATTTTGGTGGCCTTATAAAGTGTGCAAATCTACATGTGGTTAAATCTGATCTAAATATTTCTTGTCATTTCATGTTTAATCCTAATAAATCAAAAATAAAGTCAGCACCATGAACGAAAACTACCTTCACTACAGCCMTTTTATATAGTCATTTGACCAATGGAAATACTGTGTTTCTACATAGGATAACAGGTTACAACCTTGTAACTTTGGCAACGGTTGGTGGGCCAAATCAAATGGCTTGGTGGGCCAAATTTGGCCCGCGGGCCCCACTTTGGGCTCCTCTGATCTAGATCATTTGTGCGAGTGACCCTATTGGCGGAGGTGTGCGCTCTCTTGAGTGCTTCTAGTTAGTTATGTTTTCACCATACTGTTTCTGACCCCTAGAACTGGTCTCGGTGGCAGGTCTTCCAGGATATTTTGAATCCTGATCAGGAGAACTTGGATCTTGCAAACGTCAATCTGATGTTGGAGCTTCTGGTTCAGAAGAAGAAGCAGCTGGAGGCGGTAAGTAATTGTATGCTTTTTGTTGACATATTAATGAATGTAACAATCATCACAGCGGTAGATTGATCATAGCTGATTATTCCTTGTTGGGGAAGACGTGCATACAGGGTTTCCCCTGCATGTAATTGATCGTGGCGCACCGCCACGGCTAAATAAAAGCCGCCACACCTTTGGAATGTAGGTGTTTTTCTTTTTTTAATCAACATAAAACGGGTTGACACAATCATCCGAGACAACCTATTTTCGTTTCGGACAACCAGATCCTGCCTCCCGGTTGTTCGGTGGACAACCAAGAAAAAAGCTTTAAGATTTCCTTCGCGGGTGTTCTTGGTAGTAAAAATGAACGAGAGAAAAAACTTGTTAAAGCCGTCCATTTAGGGACGTCTACTGTCTAACTGACGGTTCTTTCATCCAATAAAGAGAACCACAGTCAAAGTTTTACCCAATGAGAACAGAGCAGGGCGGGTCGTGCTGTCTGACTGACAGCGCTGCCTTTTTTTCTCTCTCTGGGGTTCAGCTTGCCTCAGCTCAGGTGAACACCTCACGGGAAAGCCCTCAGCGTTTCCTGGACTATTTTCCACCGAGGATTATGTCGTATTTTATATATATTTCTAAAAGCAGCTCGCAGCATTTCTCCTGTAACACTGTGTGTTCACGAGCACAACAAAACTGCGACAGATCACCTTACTGGTTTTAAAGCGAGGGCTGAGAGGCAGTTTGACCGCAGCTGCTGCACCTCTCCACATGCATCGCGGCTCCGACCTGCCCGGGACTTCAGAGTCCATATGTCAACCCATTCAGATGGTTACTTGTGTAATGAGCATCAAAAATCTGTAATTTATGCAAAAACAAATCTGTATTAATCATTAAAATTTGCATTGACTTTCATTCATTTACTAGTATTTCCTATTACCATTTGACCCTAAACCTAGCCTACACTTTACATGGGATGTGAACTGGGCTTATGTCCCCATAAGAAACAGTGGGTCCTCACCAGGCTGTGTAGTTTGCTTCATCTCTAAAGAGATGCTGCTCTTTAATATTGTTTATTTACTGTCTTAGTTGTGCGTGGTTTTTAATTTACATTTTGTTGTTCTTTGTTTTTTTTTATTCAAGTGCATTTTTTGTTAGAGACTGAGAGTCCGCTTTGTTAAACATTCTTTAAAAATTAAAGTTTATTGATTTATTACACTTGCATATTACGCTTTTATAATTATTAGTTGTAAAATGCTCACCAGGCAATATTATCGCTTATCGCAATAATTTGTGAGACAATTAATCGCCCAGCAAAATTTGTTATCGTGACAGGCCTACCCCTCAATTGAAAACTCTAAAATGATAGAAAAGATGTTTAAAAACCTCTTTCCTCCCAACGTCTTCAGTCCTAAGAACACTAAACTGTAAGTTTTAATAAGGTCATGTACACAGTTTACTCCTCTTTAAATAAAAATGTTTGACCTGTAAGCAGAAAGCTTTTGGATGTTGGATGTTGGTTTTTGATCTTTATTTCAAAGAGGATGAGAAGGAGAACGAGGAAGTTCTCCTCAAGCAGCTCTTAAAACTGTCAACCTGCTGACTGAGAACATTTGTATATATATTACACTTTGTATACATAACAATGTACTTATTAAATTAAATTTCAATTTCCATTTAGCACCCCCCACCCCGCTCATGAGAGATCATCACCACATCACCACGGTTAAAGAAAATCCTAGGGGAAACCCTGGCATATATACAACCTCAATTCCATTGAAGCTGGCACGTTGTGTAAAACGTAAATAAAAACAATATGATGACTTGCAAACCCTTTTCAACTTATATTCTATTGAATACACTACAAAGACGAGATATTTAATGTTCTAAACACTAAACTTTATTATTTTTTAATTAATTAATTAATTAATCTATCTATTTATTTATTTATTTTCAAATATTCACTCATTTTGAATTTGATGCTTGAAACACATTCCAAAAAATCTGGGAAAGGGTCAACAAAAGATTGGGCAAATTGAGGAATGGTTAAAAGAACACCTGTTTGGAGCATTCCACAGGTGAAAAGGTTAATTAGAAACATGAGTGTTATGCTTGGGTATAATAGGAGCATCCCCAGTAGGCTCAGCTGTTCATAAGCAAGGATGGGGTGAGGTTCACCACTTTGTAGAAAACTGCATGAGCAAATAGTCCAACAGTTTAAGAACAACATTTCAGCAGCAATAGAACAGAAAACAGCTGCACACACCGAACCCGTCTAAAGTTAACAACAGGTATTTTTTATGTTCCAGTTGCAAAATACGTTTATCTAAATCTGATAATCTCATATATTACAGATGTATAAGCATGGCTAGCATTATGTGTACTGATTAATCCTAGTGGCTCCCTGGCAAGGTATTAACAGTGTAGATGAGGATCCACAGATTAATACAAAGCTGATGGATATATTGCACTCACCACTGGGTGTCGATCAGGACATAAACAGTGTAAGTTTCATGATTAAAACCACTTAATGTAAGTGTGTCAAATAAAGATATAAGCACAGCAACAGATTGACATGAGCTGTAGCACACTTGTTTGTTGCTTTTCTTCTATCCTGACTTAAACGAAATAGTTGGAGTGAATTTTTCAAATTTAAACATTTTTACAGTAGTTGGTAGGAATTATGTCTTTAGCCTTCATTTATTACAACAGTCATAGTTGTTTATAGCTAAGCAATCCAGACTAAATATTTTATTACCTAAAATGGGAATCCTGCACCAGTATAGTATAAATGAATTTACTTTTACCATTAACAATACCATTAAAATAACAAACAAACTGAATAATCTATTAATCCTGATTATTTTTTTAGCCACCCAACCCTAACCTAGACAGATCCCAAGTCCATCACATAAACAAGACAAACAACCATTCACTGTCTCACTCACACTTAGGGACAATTTAGAGTTACCAATTCACATTCATGATTTTGGTCTGTGGGAGAAAACCAGAGTACCTGGAGAAAACCCAAATATGTATGTAAAGAACATGCAAAATCTAAAGGTCCCAAGCTGGGATTTGATCTGGCAACCTTCTCGCTGGAGGCAACAGTTCTATACACAGGAATGGATTTGTTAAACARATCTCTTCAGAAAACATGTTTAAACAACATTTTTGATTTTTCGTAGGATGTTAGGCAGCAGAATGCTGCTTTTTACTTTTATTTTAGCCAACATTGGAGATGTTTGTTGTTGCTTAGAAGGTATTATTTTATGACTTTGAGGACTGTTACATGTCTGGCTTTTGCTCTGATCTTTATGAGCAATTGCTCACAAAAGGTTAACTATCTTCTAGATAAAAAGGATTTTTTTTTCACATTTGTGCTAAAAAATATAGCCAGAGTGGGTACCCTTAGCCTGTGCTGACAAAAGTGAAGTGTTGTTAAATTGTGAATGAATAACTTGATGCTTTTCTCAGAAAGTCGTAGGTCGATGCTGATGAGCGGCACTAAAACCTTGTCCAGTCTCAAAAATCTGACACATCCCGTTTCTGTCTCGTTTTGTCATTCTGTGAAAAGAAAAGAGAAGTAGGAGCTACAGKACATCCTGTTGACTTGTTCTTTCACTTCAATTACTCTGTTTTAAAGCAGGCTTCCCAGCAACTCAGGAACTCTAAAAATCTGAACACTGCTCTGCTGTTTAAGATGATCTTAATTTTGACGCTACTGTACTTATTGTAGTGTTATATCAMTCACTGCTAGAGAAAAAACATCTTTGCCTRCCACCTAAGAGTGTTKCGTGTGACTGAAATATCTCCATGAAATCAGGATTTACCCTGGAAAACTCCRGGAATTTTTTTTTCATAAAATGCCGGGAACCCTGTAAAGATTCAGAAAACATGTTAAAAAMATATGTTTCATAATATCACATGGAGCCATGCAACAACTCTAAACCACTTTGCTCAACATAAGCACACACCAGAATAAAACTAGTAACTGAGCTGAGATTAGTTTGTTTATAATTGTGCAAATATCAAAAGTCACTTCAACTTAGAAATGACAATTGGCCAAGATGATTGAAAGTGTTTCCAGCAGGATAATTTGTCCACAACAGAATATTGAAAACATTTGATTTTGACTGTGAAATTTCCTGGTTTGCAACAGTTCTGTCTAATCTGCTGGGAATGTGGTCGTGGTGTATATTGTGCCACTGTCAGCTTTTGCAACAAGGAAAGCAGCYACACTGCACATTTGATTGGTTGCAAAACTGTCACCATTGATAAATGAAGTCAGAAAAGTTTAGCCGCTCGTCTAATTTTAGGTGTGTGAGGGAACCGCCTGACCCAGTTATGAGCAAAAGGGTGATGTTGTGTTGTATTTTCACACATTTTGCCATCCTGAGACACATGTTTCACATGGAGAAAACACAAATCCCTGCTGCTGTATTGACTCCTGATTTTTTATTTTTTTTGCAGAGATGAACAAGCCAGGAAGGAGTCTGGAAAATCAGGCTTTGTTTTCCTGTGTTTAATACTGAACCAAATTCTGAGCACTTTAAACATTTGCTCTGATTAGAGATGCTGCTTCATATTATTTTCTGATACACGTCTGTTTTTTTCCACTCATTCAACACAGAATCTCCTACTATGAACTGTTGAGTGTGAGTGAGAGCTGCAGACAAATCCTGATCTTTATTGGATGATTATCTTTTGGCGCTACCAAACTGTTCAGAACCAGCTTTCTGCTTTGTCACTTTGTGTGATTCTGTATCTCTTTCTAGCTATTAAACAAAGCACTAAAAGTCAATTTGATAATCAGGTCTTTTGCTGTCAGTCAATATTTAAAGTTCTCTGAGTGCTCAATAACCCACTTGTCATTGTGAGTTGGATGGCACAGATCTGATCTTGCTTTTGAATTTTTAGGGTAAAATACATTTTTCTTTACAGAAATTGTGGTTTAATGAAACCTTGATAGAAATAAGACTTAAAGAAATAGTCAAATGTCAACAAACCGTTACCTCCACCCCATGTTCTGTCTTCCTCGGTGGCCGACAGTCGTTTAAAGTGTCATTGTCTTCCCCCTAATATAGAAAAAGTAGTTTTTTTGTGTCTGAAAATTACGTTTTAGAGGGTTAGAATAAACATCTAAGGGACTAACATGTATGATTTCGGATTTATTTAAGTACTTTTTTTAGTTTTCCTTTTCCTTTCCTGTTTATTGTGAGCAGTTTTATGACTGTTAATTATAAACTTCTCTTGTCAACGAAATTAATTTTTACCAAAATCATTTTCTGTTATGGTAGTTTTACTTTTACTATTATTATTTCTTGAAGTACTTAATATACCTCTGCTAAACCATATACATACTAAACTACACCCTAGCTATAAACTCTTAGCACACTAAAAATCATAAATATGTCAAACCTCATTTCTCAGTCCTGATCTCACTGTCGCTTCATTGCCGCTGAACCTTTTTAAGATTTTCTTACTCCTGTAGATTTTTTGGCACTTATCAAATAAATTCAGGCATCAGTCAGAAAGAAGTTTGGGGTTTTTTATGAAGGTGGATTGAGGTGTTTTTTCCATGAATCTGCCCATCTTTTGCTACCTTAAGTCCAAACTTCGGTTTTCGGCTTTTGTCTTGTTTTGCTATGACAGACATTCACATTCTGATGTAGAGGTGACTGCCATCATCATCTGCTGTTTGTGACACACAAACTCTTTCTCTAAGAAATTTTAAGGGGTTATGTTATTTTGAAGTACAGTATTGGAAGATTGCATGGAAATGTACCAATAAAATACCTGACTGCAACCTCCAGAGCAGAAAAACAACTTCTAGGGTTTTCAGTACATGTTGCAGTTCTCTCTTGTTTGATTGTGTTTGATGTTTTCATCTGTTAGGAATCCCAGGCAGCTCAGAGACAGATCCTCATGGAGTTTCTGAAAGAAGCCAGGAGAAACAAGAGAGAGGTATCACTGAGCCAATACAAAGATTGAGCACAGAGATTTTGTATAACAATACAAAAACTAGAACTGTAGTGGGCATTTTTTTATTAGAATAAAAATAAAACTGTAGAAAGCATAAGCTTATAATTTAAAACAATGTAACAAAACATCTAAGCATGTTTGTGTTTGTTTTTCTTCGTCAACAGCAACTAGACCAACTACAGAAAGAGCTTAACTTCCTTGAAGAAGACATTAAACGTGTTGAGGTAAGTTACCAGAACGCGCTGAATGAATCATTCAAACCCTTATTTACATGGTTTTCAAAGGGAAGCTAACAGAGCTATAATTCAATACATCTGTACATTAACAAACAACTGACTTTGTTGTTTTTGTCAGGAAATGAGTGGGCTTTATTCTCCAATAATCGAGGCAGAGTGTACAGTGCCTAATGTTGAGACCCCCTCTCCAGCACCCAGGTACAGCTGATCGCTGCATTTTAAAGATATGTGTACAGGAAAAGAGGTCATCATTCAGTAACATTTTATGTTTTGTTTTGTTGGTATTTTTTTTACAATAATAATCATTTAATGTTAATTTCCCTTTTTCTTCTATCTATAGTAACATCATTGATCCACCAGATTACAATCCGCCTCCAGGATTTGGTGCAACAACTCCGGTAGTCAAAGTCACCTCACATTTTTTATGATCTTGCTAGAATTGTATTTTCTCTGACAAGCTGCGTGCCATTATGAGTGTTTAGCACTGACGTAGCTGCACCTTTGGTACTGTTTGTACAGGGAAAGCGACAGACCTGGTACAACAGCACTCTAGCATCAAGAAGAAAGAGACTGACGGCTCATTTTGAGGATCTAGAGCAGTGCTACTTCTCTAACAAGATGTCACGCATCACAGGTACTCAGTTGATAGGTTTAACCTCTGTAATTAGTTATTTGTTTTTCTGCTCTGCTGTTCCACAGCATTGAAGGTAGTGGAACTATAGCTCAGCAGGGATCACTTTACTATTTCATTACCATTGTTTAAACCTTTGTCAGAAACTTGGTACTTTTGATCAGTCTGTGTTTAAGCATTGGTAAAAAGTTTTTGTTTTGTGCTATAATAAAATCCTGTATTAAAAAAAACATAGATCAACTCCTCTATTTTGTGAGTTAAGATATTTGAAGTACAACATGAAGCGTTGTCTGAATTTTTTATGCTCTTTTTTTTTTTCTTCACAAGATGGAATGTATTCAGGTTGAGTGTTTTATTGTTTTCAGATGAAGGCAGGAACCTGAACCAGCTGGATGATTTTATGGAGTGTTTGTCTAAATTCACTCGCTACAACACTGTGCGGCCACTGGCCACCCTCTCCTACGCCAGTGATCTGTATAACGGCTCCAGTATTGTCTCTAGGTATGAAAAGCTTAAAGTTGTACAACTAGACCCTAAATTATTCTTTATCAGGTGTTTGTATGATTACTAGAATTCCAGTTAAGAAGCACGGGTCGTCACCGTCTTGCACGATGATCTCTCCTGTGTTTCAGTATTGAGTTTGACCGGGATTGTGACTACTTTGCCATCGCTGGTGTGACCAAGAAGATCAAGGTTTTTGAGTATGGAACTGTCATCCAGGATGCGGTGGACATCCACTACCCGGTCAATGAAATGACCTGCAATTCCAAAATCAGGTGAGGAGACATTGGCATGTATATGTATTAAGTCTTCTTAAATCTAATCATCAAATACATTAATAAATCTCTGACAAAAGGAAAATGGAATAAAAAAACTATGTATCACATATTCCTTCATTTTATTGAAACTGAAACAGTGTCTGAACTGTGGTATGGATCAGCACATGTCCAAACTTTAAACAAAGTAGTGAATGCTACAGTTTACTAAGTTAAAACAATGACCTCCAGAATCTCCACTTAAAAGTGATGGATTCCTCCACATCCTTCCTTTTGTTGTAGCTGTATCAGCTGGAGCAGTTATCACAAGAACCTCTTGGCCAGCAGTGATTATGAAGGTACCGTCATTTTGTGGGATGGCTTCACCGGGCAGAGGTCCAAAGTCTACCAGGTGGGATACCTGCAGTGCATTTTGTTTTGTGTTGTTGGTTGTTCTTGTTAAAATGCCAGATATGTTTTGTCATGACAGCTTTCAAAAGTTTAAAGTTTCTATTTCTTCAGGAACATGAAAAAAGATGTTGGAGTGTCGACTTTAATCTGATGGACCCCAAGCTCTTAGCTTCTGGTTCTGATGATGCTAAAGGTGTGTGCAGATCTCTTTGTACCATGGTTCCTAAACTGATGTCTCTGTCTCCTAAAGTGATGACAGAAGAAATTCTAAGCTTTCCATGCACAACATAATATTTTCTACATGAACAAGAAACACATTTATTTAACAATTATTAAATGCTGTTGTTATGGAGTTTGACAAGTGACGAGGTGTTTTATATCATTGTTAAAAACATACACGTGCACATTAAAAAGCTCCTAAACAACTTCATACATCTCCATTTTCAGACAGATTTGTTTTTTTTTATGACATAAATCACAAATTTGCTTTTTGTTGCTACAGATTGAGGGCATGCTTTTTGGTCAACCACTACTCTTTTGCACTTTATTACCCTTTATGTCAAGTTTTGTTGTTTTTCTTCTCTTTTAGTGAAGCTGTGGTCAACCAATCTGGACAACTCAGTGGCTAGTATCGAGGCTAAAGCTAATGTTTGTTGTGTTAAATTCAGCCCGACCTCAAGATATCACTTGGCCTTCGGCTGTGCGGGTGAGATCCAGAGTTCCACCATTTGATTGCGATGTTTGTGTCGTGCTGATAGATTGTAAACTTGTTTTTCTCTTGTTTTGATGTATTATTATTGTGGGGCTCACCTCCCACCAGTGTATTTTCCCTTTGAAGATACTAAATATCTTCTGTGGTTACACAGACTCTGGTGGTCCAGACAAACGCCATTTCTTAGCCCCAAAGGAGAACAGGAAATGTAATAAATATTGAGTTATGCATAGGAAAGTATTCTCCATCACTAACACTAGATGACAGAGTTTAAAACCAGCAGAACAGAACTTTGTGGTAGATGTGAACTATTCTGGCTCCTTTATATTCCTGATTGTGTGTCTGAAGTCCTCAGGGTCTGGAAAAGGAAACCTTTTCTTGACCTCTGAGTTGTTGGTCAAAGCTAGAAGAATTTAAAAAACAAGAATTGCTGCTCAATAATTAAGAAAAAATAAAATAAACATTTCATGCTCTGAACAGTAGTTTTATCACAGCTTGGCAAAGATGGCGCCATAACTTTAACGTGGCTACATGTGTTTTTGGGGTTTTAAATAGTTGATACAAAGTTTTGTTGCAACAATAAAATTCCCCTCACCTTATTTTTCCCCCCATTCTTCCCATCTGAATTTTTTTTCCCTCTGCTGCTCACAGACCACTGTGTCCACTACTATGATCTACGCAACACTAAGCAGCCAATCATGGTGTTCAAAGGCCACAGGAAGGCCGTGTCCTACGCCAAGTTTGTAAACGGAGAGGAAATTGTTTCTGCGTAAGCTGCTTCTGATTTATTTTGACGGGATTTTATTTTTGACCATCTTCAACATCAAAACTGTTTAACTAAAACTCTAGCAGTTGGATAATCCATGTGTATTGTCCTAATTACAATGCCTCCATTGACATGACTGATGCTTTTACTGGTCTTTAGTTGCATGGATTCACGTCAAATGCTTAATTCTGATTCAGATCCCAGGTTTTACCAGTCTATAATTTTCCTGTAGCATGTTACAAATTTAGACTGCCCGATGTGTATGAAAGTCCTAAAATCTTGTTTGTATCCTAATAGAAAAAAGATCAAAGTCACTTGTAAAGTGAAAACAAGTTGAGATCTTAGACCTTATCGTACTGCCAAATGTTGTGAAATTTTTATTTATTCAGAAACTCTGTTGTGATTTCCAGGTCGACAGACAGCCAGCTGAAGTTGTGGAACGTCAACAAACCTCACTGCCTGCGCTCCTTCAAAGGTCACATTAATGAGAAGAACTTTGTTGGGCTGGCATCCAATGGCGACTATGTTGCCTGTGGTAAGCATTCTTTTTAAAGGGATGTTCAAAAGTTACTCCTGTTCTAGCTTTTACTAAAACATTTGAACTTGAACTTACAATGTGTGTTTTGATTTGGTGTGTTAATAGGCAGTGAGAACAACTCCTTGTATCTGTACTACAAAGGACTTTCCAAGACATTGCTAACGTTCAAGTTTGACACAGTAAAGAGTGTCCTGGACAAGGACAAGAAAGAGGATGACACCAATGAATTTGTCAGTGCCGTCTGTTGGAGGGCTCTGCCTGATGGAGTGAGTTGGTGTTCTTAGTATAATTTCAATGTTTTAGGACAATTTTTCACATCACCGTATGTTTTGGCCAAATTTTGATGTTTTCTTTGCAGGTGATTCAGCTTTCACGCAGAAACCATTTTGCTGTGCATTAATACTACTTTGTTTTTTGTTTTTTTTAGGAATCAAACGTTCTGATCGCTGCAAACAGTCAGGGAACAATCAAGGTTTGTGTTTTTGATTCTTTTTTACTAAAAGTTACAAACTAAACTTGTCTAATTGATTGATTGATTTAAAAAAGGATGGATTTACTGGGTCTAAATTTACCAAATTAAAATCATCTGTAGAGTCAAGCATAATGATGGCCTTATCATCCTGTGGGTATGTTTTACTGTGAAATATGCAGTAAATGTGTGTTGAAGTGAAGTGAAACAGAATTCAGATTAAAATAGAAAGCATTTACTGTGATTTTTTTAATGTGCTTTTTGTATGGAACAGTATAGAACTCGTTAGTTTTATTTTTATTTTTTTCCCGATCAGTTTTTTGGGGTGATAGGCTGCATTTACACAGTAGAGTTCAGCCTTTACATACCTGAGAAAAYACAAGGTTGTACTTTTTTTCCTTTTCTTCCCTCACAGGTACTTGAGCTCGTCTGAGGTCCGACCTGCCTGAGCAGAGGTTTGCACCATCAGCCTGTCAGTGGTTGAAGGATCAGTCAGACACAGGGAGATCTCATGATGCCTGCTGAGCACTGGGAGAGCTGAAATAAATGGATTTTATTTTTATCAAGCTACATGCATCCATTTTTTTTTCCTGGACAGTAGAACAGATTTTGTGCCGAGGCATCAGCTTAGCAAGAGAGAATGTGCTGCAGTTTTACCACAATGAAAATAGGACCAAGCTTGGACATAAAGCCCAAAGGGACTTTGGAGAAATATATATTTTTTCTGCAGCAGCATTATATTGATTACAATAGAACACCTCGTTTATTGTTTTACTGATCTTATACTTTTTTTTTAATTAATGGTACATCCAGCCAAATGTTACCTGTTTGATGCATTTTCTTTTTTAAAGGCCAAAGCACAAACCAACATGACATGCAAAAACTGTCTTCACATGAAGCTGTCAATTCTTATCACTGTCAACCTCTTGGATTTTTTTAAGGATCTTTGTGTAGCTTTTTTGTTGGGGGAAGAAATTAGTTTTAATAAATATGACTTGAATTTCATTTTGTCAAGTATACATCAGCTCTTTCTCCTGAGGACCGAAGTCGTGTCAGAACAAAACAAAACTCCACATTCGTCCGTTTCAACCGTCTAACTTATCGCTGCTAAATCATATAAAACTGGAACTTTTGTCATGTTTGGGCTGTTTGTTGCTTTTTTTTTAATAATAACAACCTCAATCTGTTTTTAGGTCGTTTTAAAGTAGCATTGGACTTTTCTCTCCACGTACTGTAGGCTGAAAAAAACCGTATCCTCTGAACTGAGCGACATTGTACCTTAAGGAGAACTGCTGTCAGTTTTTGTGGAGTGGTGGATCCATGATGACGCATGGAGAAGATTTCACAAACTCCACCAAGATCTGCCTATTTTATGATAACTGAGTGAGAGAGGGTGTTTTTGTATTTGTAAAAGCAAATAAATTATTTCCAAACAATTTGTTGATTTCAGATCTATTTTAATTCTTGTTTTATACTCGTTCTCTCCTTAAAAGTTTAGTTGCTTTTCATGGGGTCATTGCTGAAGGACCTGACACACCAAAGTTTTAGACAACTGCTACCTTAAGAAAATCTTATGACTAAATTACTCATGTAGGTTATATATTTGATCATATCATTATAGTATGTATATGTCCAAAAGAGATTTCTAGTAGATTTTTTTATGTGATCTTCAATATAGACAACTTCAGTGTTGGGCAACATTTTTATAAGTTGTCTAAAACTGCATGGTGTGGCAGGACATTAATATAACTACAATTACATAATATAGAATATGAAACATCAGTTGTTTTGCAATATTGTTTTACACAGCAGGTCTGAAGTTATTTCACAGTGAGTAGAAATACACCAGAGCTGATTATAATCATTGAGTTAGTGGTTATTGTACATTAGATCAGAAGGTTGTTGGTTAGATTCCAAACTCACCCAAAGGTCTATAATAAATCTTCCTGAGTAAATTAAAATAAATGACATGATAAAGGTTGGGTACGCTGATGTCATCCAAATATTTATTTCAAAGTCTCAGAAGCTCACAAAAGTGAAAATATTTTGTACATATTTTGCAGATTATTTTAACTATAGCTTATCAATGGTTTTATAAAGTACTATATATAAATATAGTAAAGTAGTATAAAGTACTCAAGGTTATTTGTTGGTACATGTAACATCTAC